CGTTACTTTGTGAGATCTAATGATAATCTTCTTGCTCCACAACGTTTACTAGATATGATAACTGATAACCTAAACAAAACGTGGTACGCAATACTTCAATAGAAAACGCCGCGCTGCCAGTCTGTTTATTAGTTGTCTGAGATTCAGCTACGTTCAGTCATAATTCAAGTCAAACAAAAATATAGAGAATATAGCAAATTATTCTTTTTTTTGTAATATTCTCGTTACCCCAGACCATTCGTCCCGGTGTTATCGCTATCGCCACACGAGACTCCAGCTTGTCTCCTATACAATTTTCCTTCCGCCCACTTAATTTTAATATTCATATGACCTTTGCACTGACATCGATAGCCAATCGCATTCGACCGCGGACGTCACTCTAAATAAACAACTGAATAAATTAATATACCATATTTGGAAGATAGCGGGTAAATTCAACGTTGTTGGTGTGTTCCTTCGGGTTCCGAAGTCCCACGAAACGCAAGTAAAACAGGTCGATATGTATTAAACATGGCATTTGTTTTCTTGTTTTAACCCCCTTATTACGCAAGCTTCCGTCGAAGTGGTGTTTTTTTTCGACGATTTGTGGCATGTTGCAAAACGAACGAAAATGTGGGGGAAGGGTGAGGTTCGGGTCTTCTCAGTCACGGAAGTGAACACTGAAACGGACACGTCATGTAACTGGAACTCAATCTCGTTTATTCTTCAACAACAACGTAATACAGATGTTAACTCGTAAACAACTGGAAAGCAACTGCTCAAAACGAGCGCAAAAACATACAATGTTGCCAATTGCCAATATCGCGTCAAGTAACAATTTGTAGGGCGGGAGGCGTTCTCATTGCCCGATTACGAATACGGTGTTTACTCCGACGTTCGGAACACATATTGGCCAAATTACAACTGGGTGTGCTAGTTTCTCATAGCATTACATTCAAAAAATGAAATACGAAGAGAACATGGTTATGAATAAAAGATCAATAATTCAAATGAATCTCCCCACAGAAACATTGCGGCATTCTTAGCGGTGGATAAGGGATCGACTATGTCTCGTTTGAAAGAGAATAAACAACCGCTCAGAAAAATATGTTGCTAATATTTAAGTGCGGTGCCTTGAAATCGCCTGCCCGACGTCCAAATTTCAAAAGGATGTTCGATTTGCAATGACGACCGTTCATATGTACTAGGCGACGTTACTAATTACTACTAGGGTCGGTGTTTGCATTAAGAATTATAGAACAAAAGATCAGCAAAGCGGTGCTTTTGTCGGCGATTTTGTCAAAGGGAATATTGATAAAATGTTGCAAAACAGAATCGCGAGTTGGGTGAAAAATTGCGCCGGCGGCATTCTCAGCGATGGCGACACCCGAGAAACACCGTGTCACGGTGCATTCGTGCATCAGTACACCGAAGAAATACATACATATTGTTGCGGACGACTATTGTAGACTGTGTTCGTGTAGTCTTCGAGTTTGTGGACAGTTAAAGTCGTGTGTGAATTTATTCAAGCCAGGAAAAG